AGCTTGGAAAGTAAGGAATTGAACAAAGGTTAGTTCTGCTATGGTGGTGAGTGAAGAGACAAGCACTAACAGATAGTACTGGAGAGAGCAGAGAACCATACAATGTGGGGCTAACAAATATTATAAGAAGCTCTCTCTTTTACCCTAAGAACAAATGGCCAGACTTTGAAAGTTAAAAAGTTTTAAGATTATAGAAATGAACTGGAGTATGCTAGAATGGATGCATGTGTATTACTAAGTTCTTCATTGTAGTCTGAGCAAGAGATGATATTAATGGGTGTAGATTGTAGAGGCATGGAGGCATGGTAGAGGATTAGAGAGATAGATGAATTTGCAAGAGATTTAGGTCACATATTTATAGATATTGGTAGATCACTGCATATAGTTAGTCAGGGAATGTTAGTCTGTCAAGAATGACTCCTATGCTCTGGCTTACCAGGAAGGGACTGTGATGACCCTTCATGAGATAGAGAATGTCGGAAGATGATCAGGACTATGAGTGGACAGTTATGGATTTGTCTTTAGAAATGATTTCCTTTTGAAATTCTCTTTTTCCTGACCTGTTTTATACAGCTTTTGCCAGATCCCATTTCTTTTTATCAACCAGTCTACTGTCTTTCCTGTCTCTCCACATATCATCTGTGTTCTTTCACTCCCACCCCACTTAAATGCTGGTACTCTCCATGGTTCTGACCTGAGCCTTTAGCCTCATTAATTACTCTAAACCCATGCTGTCCAATATAGCAAACACATGAGCACTTGAAATGTATATTAATCTGAATTGAGATATGTGGTAAGTATAAAATACAAAATTGTAGCTTAAAATAATGAAAAATAAAGTAATAAGTTTTTATAATGTCTAAGTGATAATATTTTAATATATTGAATGAAGTTAATGACATATTACATTTTTAAATGGCTACTAGAACTTAAAGTTAATAGAGGCTTGCTGGATATTTCCCTGACAATACTTCTCTAGACAGTGACTTCACTATCACCTCATTCCTGGCATCTGGAGCCCACAGAACTGCCTTCTGTCCCAAGAATATTTCAAGTAATTTTATGTGTCATACTCTATCCTTTTCCTAAAATTTTATTGCCCTTCTTTCTTACCAGTTAGATATGATTTCTACATATTTGCTCAGAACAAATATCTGTTCCACTATATGAAACTTTCCCAACTCATTAAGGAAAAATTAAAGAGTTCTACTTGAGAATATGACATGTTCTTTTAATACCTTTCTTATAACAAATCATATACTTGTATTTTGTTTTATATTCATTTTTCTCTCCAGTTAGACTGTAAGTATCTACAAAGTAGAGGTTCAATTATGTAACCAGGTACTGAATACCTTGTTGATACTCAATGAAAGTCTGGTGAAAAGCAATTGAACCGACACATACTAAACAGGTACCATGTAATTGATTCTGACTTAGATGTTTTACAGGCAATATCTTAAATCTTCTTAATAACCCTGTAAGGTAGATATAATTACTCTCACTTTATACATGAGACTCTTGCAAAAACTCAGGCTGTTAGTAAATTATAGGACCAGGATTCTACTAGATGGGATGACTGCAAAGTCACATTCCCCCACCCCCACCTTGTGCTTTAATGCATGATGAAAAATGGATTAAAAAGTTGAGATTATATTTCTACATCAAAAATGGGAAAATATAATTTCCTAGTATTGTTGAAAGATTAAATGAGATAGTGTATATAAAATGTCAGGACATCATAGGTTGAAATACTGAGCTCCATAGTAGGTTTGATTTCCTTCAATGTTGAGACCAATAGCATATGGATCCTTAATTTCTTAGGAAGACCAAGGTCTTTCTAACCTTGTGGATACCCCCAATACATGCTTACACCCAGGCTCATAAACATTCTTATTTGTATGGAGGTCATGAGAGACAGACTACCCACTTTAACCCAGCCCTTTTTGTTTATTTCTCAATGGTTAAGAAAGTGAATTAGAAAATTAATAAACAGTACTACAAGCATTCTCTGTGTGAGTGTGTGTTAGTAAGGGTTGGGACAGGAATAATAGTAGAAAAGGAAGCAAGCTTGGGGTTCTTCCAGGAATATGTTCCCTTGGTAAATTTCCAGAAAATCATTGAATAGAGTGTTGATTCTTTTCTTCTATTCTATCTTACCCAGCTATGACATTTTATAGTCATGACCACTTCTTATATTACCTCCTCAGGAAACTTTGTAGGCAAAAGGGGAAAGGAAAGGGGAATAAATGTTCATTTTGACCAATATTGGTCTGTGTTTCCCCTATTGAGATGGTGGGCTCCTGAGAAATTTAATCAAATAAAATGTAAATTTAATCAAATAAAAATAGGAATGTGTTCAGGTAAGGGAAAGCTATCCTTCTATAAGCTTCAGCTTTATATTGAAAAGCAATATTAAGAAACCTTTGTTGTAATTAGTACTTGACTAAGACTAAGTGGTGCTCATGAATTTAAGGGTAAACTAGTTCCTGTTCTTATTGATTCTCTTGATTCACATATTTGAAGGTAACAACAGAAATACAACACCTTGTCCATAGTTAGAGGAAATGTATCACCAGCCTGTGTTCTTTTTATCAGATCAAATGTACAGATAAATATGTTTGGCAGGGTAGGGGCTTCCTGCCACTATTTAAAAATCTCAGAATTTTTGTCCTCCAAATGTATATAGCAAATAAAATATTCAGTATATTTAAAAGCTTTTGATGAATCACAGAACCAAAGCTAGATATTAAAAGGAATAGGAAATGGCAGAATAAGTAAACTTAAGGCATTATTATTATCATTGATATTAATATTCTTTTAATGTGGTTTCTCTCTCAAGCTACTCATTTGAGTTTAAGACATAGTCTTAAGAAGACTATGAAGGAAGTTTACGACATAGCCTCATGATTAGTGAAAATCCCTTTGTTTCTCCTTAAGACTATGTCTTAAACATTGTATTTATTTTATTACCTGTCACATAGCAAGTACTTAGTGTCCTTTGCTGAATGATGGAAATAGTCACCTAGAGATGATTTAACTAGCAAATAGACTACAATTTGAGTGGTGAGCACCAGAAGTTGCAAAGAAAATGTTCTTTGAGGTGAAAATTTGCAGTCTTTAAGAACTGGATCCTCTGCAGCATTTAAATTAAATTTTAAGGCTAAGGAAACAACTTCTAATTTAGAGAACTTTTATATGTGATATTATTATATATAAAGGCATTCCATGACTAAGAACATGTAAAAAATAATAATGGAAGTTACCTAGCTATGCTAGAATATTTAATCTACATAGGGAAAAATTAGTATAACAGAATTTTAAAGGAAAAACTCAAGTTGATTTATCTGCCAAATTGACTTGTATTCAAAGGGATGAAGAGAAGATACTTTTCAGTTCAACCAATTCAATACCAAATCTTCATATACTCTCAGATATATAAACACATTTATTTATATGTTTTGATTTGTCTTAAACTTGTGCATATCTTTTGAAAAGCCATTTTGACTCTGACTCTACCTCTTTTCTCTATACTTTCTGAAATTGGAAAAAATCAGTGGTGCTTAAGAGTAATGACTCTACCATGTTAATAGTAACGAGGCTCTAGTTATTGGGTCAGTGAATTGAAGCTTTATTAATCTGTACCATAGTATTGTTGGTTAGTATAAGAATGAGGAGAGAAAGCCCTCCCTGGTGGTATAACCAGGTAAATTTGATCCCAGGGAGGTGACCCACATGGCATAGCAGACCTCTCCTGTCTCTCCCACTGCCCCCCTCAGCAGTGTACTTCGCCAATCTGCCTTTCTAGTCCCCACTCTGTCTCTGGTGAATCCTCTGACTGCCCTGCAGCTCTTGCCTGTAACCCAGATCTGATATGCATAAATAAATAAATATTTTTTTAAAACGAGGAAAGAAAGCTTCAAGTCGAATGAAATTTTAGACAAGTATTCACTAACACCATCATGAGTATATTCAGGAATCTTCCTGACATAAATTAAAGATATATATGCATATAGTGAAGGAAGCAAACCCAAAATTAATAGCGATTCCAGGTGGTTATTTTTCTTTTGTGTATGTGCTTTTCAATATAACTGATTTTATATAATAAATTATATTATTTTGAGCCTTTCTGGTAACCTAAGAGTTAAGTCAGCCCTGTCATAGCTATGGCCTATATTCAGTCCCTGGACAAGGAGCTAAGCGACATGATGCAGCATGAGGTTATCCAGGAATTGGTTTTGTTAATTTTTTCTTTTTTGTCCTCTTCAAAGTGTTGACATTCATTGAGTTTATGGCCTACGGTTATAAGACACTCTCATGTGTTTAAGGAGATAAGAAGAGGCAGAGGCAATAAGGTCCCTGCATCTCATTTGCCAGAACTGATTGAAAGGACCAACCTAGATTAGACTTTGGCCAAAGAAAAAAAGAGATCCTAGATTTGCATCAAACCAGTTATTGCCATCCTATACCTCTGTGAACAAAGAATAGTTTCTCACTGAGCTAACCAGGTAAGAAAGAGCTCTATCTGCAGGAGAAGAGAGACAGAGAGAAGATGGTCTTTTGGATAGAAAATAGGAAAAGCACTTGATAAAAGTTTATTGAATAAATGAGGGCCACATTTCATGGATCCACATTTGCTTTTTGGGCCACTTTTACTATAAAATATACTAACCTTGATATGCAAGAACTGAATGGTATGACAGATGTCAACCAGACTGCATTCATGGTTATATGTTCATTATTATGATGCTTATTTTTTATTCTAATTTTAAAATGAAAATTGAAGCATTTTTTATGGACACTAGCTAGTGCTACATAAAAGCCCAGTGATAATTCAAGCTTGGGTCTATGTGATATACTCATGAAATATAAACACATGAGAATTGTGACTGTGTATTACATTTCACTGCAGCCCTCAAATCCCTACTGCATGATGATACGTCTAAGAGCAGCTCAAAAAGTACTGCAGAGGTGACCTAACATCTCACTGTTCTTCCCACTAGGGTGAGCCAGGTCCTCCTGGTCCTTATGGTCCTCCTGGAGCCCCTGGAATTGGACAGCAAGGTATTAAGGTAAAAACTACTTGTGTGTGATAACTACTGTGTTTATTGTGGGGGCTGGGGAGCTGTGACTTGAATTCTGCTCAGCCTTACCCTTCTAGATGCAAGGGGGTGACTACCACCCAGATGCTTGCACAGAGAAATGTTCTGGTCCTGGCACTTATACTTATGACATGAACAATCAATTTTTTTTTTTTGAGATGGCATGAAAAACTTGCTTTTCTTCAAATACTCAACCTCTTGCCACAGTACTACACATTTTCTTGCATTTTCAAGGGCCTTACACGTTAACATGCATGATGTTATTGGGATGTGAACACCTTAACAAATCAACTCTCTCCTGTTCTCATTATATATATAGCACAGAGAGGCAGAATCAGAGGGATCATGACACTGAATAAGTAAATGTTGACAGAAATGTTTTAGGTAATGAAAAACTATTAGGCCACCCAATACCTTGGGGCACTCTATATCATGGAGAATGTAATAGAACAGACACATTTATTTTAAATGGCTTTTATATGCTTTGGGACAATACAACAACTTTCATGCTGTACCAATTTGGAGATCAGTGCGAAACAGTGCACTTTTTTTATCACCAGGGAGCACATTTAGAAAATAAGCACATGGAGATTCCAGGGAAGGTGAAGAATATATTGGCAAAGTTACTGGAAAAGAATTCTGAAAGAGATAAAGCATGAAACAGACCTAAAAGGAGGGGTGATGTGGGAGAGAGTGGAAATAAGGAAAAACTGGCATTCCAGGATAGTGGTGAGGTGGGCAGGGAACAGCACCTCCCTTATAAGCTTGATCATCTCTGCCACCAAAATGAGTCAAAATTGCAGTCCATGCTGACTATTACTGCACAATTGTTTCTGAAAGCTGAAAGGACCATACTGGTTTTGGACAGGAAGAGATGATGGACATTTTAGGGTGATTTGTTCATTTAAATTCAAGCCATTTCTCTGCCTCTAATTTATTTTTATCATTGTGGGTGTGAAATGTTTGACTATTTTACATTTATCTTTGCTGAAATCTCCAGAGTATTTTGAACTATGCTTATTCTTTATTTAAAAACTCAAAATTTTATTCAATTATTTTTTATCTTAGGGAGAAAGGGGCCAGGAAGGAAGAACAGGCGCTCCGGGTCCAATCGGAGTTGGTGAGCCTGGTCAGCCAGTAAGTAGTAAGAAGTCTAGATAGGATTAAAAAGGACTAATAAATTGTGTGTGCACACATGTGTGTGTTTAATATTTACCTTTTATTTATTTATTTTTTTTATTGAGTTAAAATTGTTCTACTGTCGGGGACTGGCCCCAACTATCGATCTGTGGGATGAGGTAGGGGGAAAAAACAGGCAGGGCCCCAAAATGGGAAGGCTTCATGAGTGGTGATTCCAAGAAGGGGGAAGGGGAGTGGGCGCGAGGAAGACACAGAAGTCAGAGTTGGGTGCAAGTCTTCCTGCTCATTCTCTCAGCAGGTCTTTATTTATACTGTGTAGCAAGTAGTTAATTACAATAATGTATAGGGTAAATTAGTGAGAGATCGCCATAAATTGTCATGAAATGTTCTCAAGGATAAAAGGGGAACAATGCATTTTCTTCCTAACATTTTATGGTATACTAAATTATACATATTTGTGATAATTGTCATGAATACAGATGTTTAACTATAACTGAAGGGAAGAGGGGGTCTAGGAAAGGATGAGCTATTAGCAAAAGATTATTAGGGGTCTTAGGGAAGTAATAAATTATGTTAGCAATATTATCAGTGATTGTCTAAAGAGAAGCTAATGGCTAATTTTTAGCTAGCAGAGAGTAGAGTTTGTTTAAGAAAAGGGTAATTTACGGCTGGCAGGGAGTAGTTAGTGATTACTTAAAAGGAGTAAATTAAGAAAAAGTTGTATAGTCGTGCATTAAACAACACCTGTGTAAACAAAGTTTAAAAATTGTCCATGAGTCCTTATGCCCCGGGAATCTTATTTGAGATTTGCTTTTTATTTAAAAAACAAAAAAACCTTTCCATGAGTCTTTATTCCCTGGGAGTCTTATCTCTCCTGGGGCTTGCCTTTTGTTTTAGGAGACAGAGGAATTTCCCACCCTGGGCCAATTGCCTGGGCCAGGCAGGCACCTTATGAGGCTAAGGCAATCCAGTTGTAAACTGATGGTTTCTCAGAATATTTTGATATTATGATTATACAAAAAAGGGAGGTCCTAACATAAGTTAGCAATGGAAATACTGATTTTTCAGAGCATTTCCCTTCTATCCGGAATTTGTCGGTTGACAGAAATTGCATTGCGTGTGTCATTCTACAACACTGTATGTGATTTAAGGGAATTGATTCATACCAGATAGATGTCACCCTACCATACAAATCTCCCAACCAGCCACAGGTTTTTTTTTACAAATATAGTTCTTTCTGGTTAGACAAATTTTTTAAGCCATTTAGTGTCCTTTTGGATAACAAAAATCAAAAAAAATAAGCAAGGACATATTTTTTATAATCTACAAATTATATCAAATAAAACACAATTAAACAAAATGTTCAAAAAGAGTTCCCATGTGTCAAAATTTCCTAGAAGGCAGATATATGGATTCAGGCCTAATGTCTCTGCTTTAACAATGAATTTCCTGGGTCCTCCATGGTGGCGCAATGGGTTAAAGCATAGCATTACGAAGCTAAAGCCACTTCAGCATGAGTTTGAGTCTTGGCCAGGGAGGTGACCCACATGGCCTGGCAGAACTCTCCTGACCTGTTCACAGCTCCCTTCATCAGTGTACTTCATCCATGTGCCTGTTCTGCTCCCTTCTCTGTCTCTGGTGAATTCTCTCACCTCCCCTGTACCTCTTGTCTATACCATAGTTCTGTATGCATTAATAAATAAAATCTTTTTAAAAAATTCAATTTCCTGCAATAATGGAAAAGTTCACTGAGAATGAGGCCCTTGCTCATTACTGAATCCAAGGGTCTAGTACATAGTTAACACTTGTGGGGAGGGCGGGGGCTTGCAGCTTCCACTATAAATAAATTCCTTCAAAAGAGATCTGGAGAGGAAATGAATAAAATATGACTATTCTATATAAGAAATTTCTCAACGGTTCTAATAGTCATTGTTCTCTTAAGAAAAAACAGTACTGGATTCCTGTGGTACAAATTCAAATGACTGATTGTGAATAGGTACATAGTCATGAATAGTTTTGATTTGCATGGTCTCACATGTGTAAACAGAATTCGAAACTTGTACTTCCTTGCTGTACTCTGTGAGCCAAATGGCAGCATGTCATTTGAAGGTTAAGCTTTGACCTACAGCATCTTATGTATGAAGGGCAGATACCATAAATTACTTATCTAGAGGTCAGTGTCTCACCTGTTTACAGCTGCCATTTAGTGCTCTTCAAGGTCAACCACTGGGACAGAAGAAAACAAGCTCCATGAAGACAATGCTGGGTCTTCACTGGAGGAGTTGGAAACCTAAAAAAAAAACAGAAAGGATATTTTTAGAAAGATACAGATGCAGATAGGTAGCCATATTTGGAGAAATACAACATAAGATTTTAGTAGGAATGAAAGTCTTTTCATAATTCTTTGAATAAGTGGAAATAAAAATAAGCTGCATATTTTACTGCAAACCCACTATGATTTGATTTGTCCAAAAGAACCCTAGAATATTTTTTTTTTTAAGATTTATTTATTTTGTGCATACAGAACTGAGGTACAGGCCAGAGACTCAGGGGTGGCGAACGACTTCACCAGAGACAGAGTGGGGAGCAGAACAGGCAGATCGACGAAGTACACTGCTGAGGGGAGCAGTGGGTGGGTCAGGAGAGGTCTGCCATGCCATGTGGTCACCTCCGGGGCAAGCGGGAATCGAACTCATGCAGAAGTGGTTTCAGCTTTTTAGTGCAGTGCTTTAACCCGCTGCGCCACCAGGGAGGGCCAAGAACCCTAGAATTTTAAAGCCAACATATGACTTCCTCCACATGCCTACATTTTTAAAATTTATTTATATATATATATATTTAACTTTTTTTTTTTACATCATTCTTCATTTTGTGCACATGCCTATTTTTAACTTAAATAGTTCCTGCCTTGCTACTGAATCTAGATGAGACTGTTTGGCTAGTTACAGGACAATACATGACCATATAGGTTAAATAATTCAACATGAAGTGCGTGTTGTTACTTTAAGATACCATGTGCAGAACTCCATCATCAACTCTTTTTTTTTTTTAAGATTTATATATTTATGCATACAGAACTGGGGTACAGGCCAGAGGTGTGTGTGTGTGTGTGTTTGTGTGTGTGAGGGGCTGAGAGAATTCACCAGAAACAGAGTGGCAGAGTGGCAATCTGTTTGACAGATTGACAAAGTACACTGCTGAGGGGAGGAGCGGGAGTCGAGAGAGGTCTGCCACATCATGTGAGTTACCTCCCTGGACAGGGATCAAATTCATGCTGCAGTCGCTATGATAGCTTCATAGTACTGTGCTTTGACCTGTTGTGCCACCAGGTAGGGCCCCCATTAACTCTTGAGGACACAAATAGTGACATGAGTATTTGATTTAGTCTCCCATGGTGTCTACTACATTGCAACCTCTCCCACAGTTCACACTTACAACCCAGTAGACAATAGGTTCAATTGAGTAAGGAACAACAGATTCCAACAGCATTACTTATCCTCAGGAACATAAAGTGTGAAGGTCTTTGTGCTCTATGCGAGTGCTTACTAAGGAATTTCCTTTCAACAAAGCTAATATGGATACTCTCCCTGCTGAGTGCCCAATTGGCAAATGCTACACAGAAGCCAGATGTCACTTTGGAAAACTCCAGTTCTGGTACTGGTAGTATGTTGAATACACTGGAGCTTTTATAATGAAAAGCTTCACCCTCAAAAAAAAAAATCCAGGATGGGTCAGAGGAGGGGAACAGGCAGTTAATTAAGTGAGGCTCTGCCGTCACCATTCATCACTGAGGGTCTTACTGGATTTCTTTTTCACAATCATTATAATGCCATATCATGGTACTTCTAAATAAATATTGTTAAGGTGAAATAGAAAAGGCAGTGCCCTCCCTCTCACTACCTACCTTTTGCTTTACACAAAGTAAACCCCAACTCCTTCGGATTTCTGTTTTGTCTATGAATTGCTGAATAACAAGCTACCTCAAGACCTAGTGTCTTAAAATAACCATTTTTTTTATTTTTCATAATTATATGGGTAGACTGGAGAGTTCCATATAATGTAAAGTTAACTGAAGAGCTAAAATGGCTGGAATATTTAAAACAGTGTCATTCACATGGTTGTCACTTCTCCAGGCACTGCTCCCATAATAGGTCTAGTTAATATTCATCACCACACAGTTAACTTTTTTTCTTGAGAAGAAACTTTTAAAATTTACTATTGGGCCTCCCCAGTGGTGCAAGGTGGTAAAGCCAGCACTATGAAGCTCTCTGCAGCCACTGCAACACAAGTTCAATCCCTGGCCAGAGAAGTGAGTGACCTCTCCTGTCCCACTTGCTGCTCCCCTCAGCAGTGTATTTCAGTGCATCTGTCTGTTCCCATTCTGTCTCTGGTGAATCCTCTTTACTCCATCACCTCTAGCCTGGGCCTAATTCCTGTATGCATAAATAAAACAATCTTTAAACAAATAAAATAAAATTTATTATTTTAGCAATGTCCAGATATGCATCACTGTATTATTATAGTCAGAAGGCTGCACATTATATCCCCATGGCATATTTATTTTATAATTAGAAGTTTGTACCTTTGACCCCACTCACCCATTTTACACACCATACACCCTCAATTTTGACAAGCGCTGATCTGTTTTCTCTGAGTTCAAATATTATTTCAGATTCCACAAATAAGTGAGATTATGTGGTGTTTCCCTTTCTCTGCCTGACTTATCTCACTTGACACAATACTCTCAAGTCTGTCTATGTGGTATCAAGTGACAAGGTTTCCTTCTTTTTGTGACATTGTATGTGTGTGTGTGTGTGTGTGAGCACATGCCCACACATTACATTTTCTTTACCCATTCATCTATCTATAAATACATAGGTTGCATCCATATTTTGGCTAGTGTAAATAATGCTGCTAGGAACATGGAAGTGATGAGAGTTCTATTTAATGTTTTTCTTTTCTTGTTTTTAAAGATTTATTTATGCATGCAAGAACTG